GATAACAGGGTTGACAACAAAGGAACCATCATTCATACCATATAACACTTCAATAATCATATCGCAAAATGATTAGAATATTTCCTGTGAAGGTCATTGGAAGGACTATAAAAATTTCCCTTCAATTTTACCAATATCTATCTCACAGTAATTGTAAGTAGTTGGCAGATGTACTGTACAGCGGAAATTAAAAGTAGTTGATAGATGTACTGCACAGCAGGAATTGTAAGTGGTTGATAGATGTACTGTACAGCAGGAATTGTAAGTGGTTGATAGATGTACTGTACAGCAGGAATTGTAAGTGGTTGATAGATGTACTGTACAGCAGGAATTGTAATGGTTGATAGATGTACTGTACGGCAGGAATTGTAATGGTTGATAGATGTACTGTACGGCAGGAATTGTAAGTATTTGATAGATGTACTGTACAGCAGGGATTGTAAGTGATTGATAGATGTACTGTACAGCAGGAATTGTAAGTGATTGATAGATGTACTGTACAGCAGGAATTGTAATGGTTGATAGATGTACTGTACAGCAGGAATTGTAAGTGGTTGATAGATGTACTGTACAGCAGGGATTGTAAATAGTTGATAGATGTATTGTACAGCAGGAATTGTAAGGGATCGTCAAATGCAATATGCTACGGTAATTCAGAGTGGTTGACAGTTGTAATGTACAGTGTCTAATATATTCAGTATACAGTAATGATTCTTGGCAACTTTAATGCCACAACCGATTGTTCCAAGCTTAGTATCATGCAATACAACCATCACCGGCACCGTCGATATGTAGTTTGATGGATGTAGTGTACAATTCTTATGATTAGAATCATATAAATCCCGTTGACAGATGCTGGTTTCCTTTATAACATATTTCGTCCTATAACAATGACTGTTCATTGTCATTTAGGTAGAGAACATTATTGTTTAATTAAAACACTTAAAACATCTATTCAAAAACACATGTTCCATATGTACAGTGATACTTTTAATAATTATCAAATCACTCAAAGATCGTAAATGAAATAGAGAAACATATATTTATAGTTTAAAATGTATTCAAACATCACTGGCACGACTTTACTGTCACTGTATGAAAGAATCGTGTTTTCTTTGGCTTCTGTAATTACGTAAGACTTGATGGAAGTAAATCAATACTAGATATTCCAATCACAGCTTATATGGGAGTCAGTCATGCGGAAACAACGTTTGTCGTAAAGGTGGTGACTAATACAAAAATGGTCGTGTATTTCTTAAATAATGCCGGGTCTTATATACGCATGAAAAAGTTGCAAACTATATTACTACAGTTTGCTGTCAAGCATTTTGGAAACTTAGTCTTTCATACTGATCAAGTACTGTACTCACTTTTCACCCATAAAATTGACTGACGTTCTGAGCCAGTTTTTTTATCGGGGCTTAGACGAGTTGCTTGGCACGCGTCGTCATCGCGTTGGTAATTGGTTGGATCCGGGTTTCGTTTGGGATTTACAATGAATATTAATGAAAATCGACAAAGAACAGCCAGCCCAGTAATTCAATCAGTTGAAGCATTGTTATTGTATCCAGAATGAGTTATTTTTTGTGAATGAATTCTAGAATATACCACATTGGTTGCAAGCGTCGACAGGTAGGCAAACCCAACAGAACCAGTCGCGCGATATCTTGATTTAACAATTGATAATGTCACGAAGAGAAAAAAAAAGTCTCGATACAGTATATTTAGTAATTTTTTCGACTGTCACCAAACCCACTCTATCGAGACGATCAGCAGTCATAAATTATCATAAAGGAAAATACATTCATTTAAGTCTAACTTTTGTTTTAGTATTACTGTTTGTCTAGCGAAAGTGCACGTCATACAGTAGTTTACCAATAAATCGACAAAGACATGTAAGGGAATGTTTGAAAGTTAAACAAGACTCTCTAGCATACGTTTCATGCATTTAGTAGAGACTACAGTAGGTGTCACAAAAAAGTTGCATTTGTCATTCTGAGGGATATGTCAAGATCGAAAGAGTAGGGTATACATTCACTGTAACAAGAGACATTATATCGAGTCAGGATCTGGTATTAGTAGATACAGCTACAGTAACGAGGGGAATTACATCAAGATAAGATCTAGTAATAACAAATACAGCCACTGTAACAAGGGACGTTGTATCGAGATAGGATCTGGTATTAGGAGATACAGCTACTGGAACGAGGGAGAAATTATATCGAGATAGGATGTAGTTAAAACAAACACACCCACTGTTACAAGGGACATTATATCGAGACAGTATTTGGCATAAAATACACTATAACGAGGTAAAATATATTGAGAGAAAATATAGTGATATGATATATATTCACTGTAACGAGGGATAAAATGTCCAAAGAGGATCTGGTAGTTAGAAAATATAACAAGGGGAATAATAATTAAAACAGGATTTTTGTATTTAAAGATACAGTTAATGCAACGAGGGGAATTTATATCGAGAGAAAATATGGTAGTATGAGATACAGTCACTGTAACGAGGGGCGTAATATTGAGAGAGGACATGGCATTAAGAGATACAGCGATTTTAACAAATCATATCGATTTTTGTTAACGGGAAAATTATGCAATTGCATTAATGATTTATGATGAAAATGAAACATAGTAAATTAATATTAGTGGTATGGGGATAAGTAAAACTTTAACATGTGGTATATGTAAATGTTCTAGACATGTAGTACAGATGTTTCTTGTGTGGTAAAACGTCAGAGTATATGGTCAATCACCAGAGGATCCGGTAACCTCTCTAGGAATACAGTACATTGTATCTAGATTGATGCATAGGACTAAAATATGATTCATTATAATCAATGGGAACATGTGATCTACTTTTGTAATGAAGTGTCAGGGTTTAGAAGATCTTGCTTAGAAATAATCCCGAAGTGCCATAAGAGGTTTATGTGTGCGATAAGGAGTGTAAGACAAAGTTATGAGGTGGGTGGTAAATTATCTTTTCTTAAATAACCAAAAATTTAGTGACCACGTCCATCATAATAACCAACCAGAATTGGACGTCTACCGCTTACCTCGGTATTTTCCTACAACGAACTCAACATGAGCAGCTTTCCACCAAGCTTTATGATAAGCGTGATGATTTCAATATCCTTTTTGTGATTCTTCTATTTTTTGATAGCAACATTCCTGCATTTCTGGCCTACATGTCGTACTTGATATGATATCGAAAGACCAATATCACAAATTTCCTGTAAAATTACTGTAACTGTTAGACAAATTTGACAACACAGGGTTTCGAAGTTCTGATGTTTGATGAAAATGTTGGGGAAATTTTACCGTCGTTAGAGTGATTTCAATGAGAAATGTTCTATTTTTGTCCGATATTAGACTGGACGTGTTTGATGTGTTACAGTTTGCTTGTTGGTTCCTATGTTCTATATCTTGTTCTCATAAAGATGGTAAATTATCCTTGTGTGCGCATAACGTCGGATGTATGGTAAATTCCCTAGGGATTGGTAATGGAGCTAGGTTTTATTATCTTTGTGTGTGAGGGCGTGTGGTGGTGGTGGTAGTGTGTGTGTTGATGTGAAAGATCTAAGCCTATGATATGAATGGTTAAGGATCTAGATGTGTGATAAAAGATCTCATTGTGTGAGAAATGTTTAATTGGTTTGTGGTAAACGATCTAGATATATGACAAATTCTTTTGTTGTACGTAAAAACATCTTAGCCTACGGTATAGGTATGAGATAAATTGTATCGATTGTACCCAATATCAGAGGTATATGGAAAACATTTTGGAGCCCTGGAATGTGATAAAATACAGCGGATTGGTGGTGTATCTGTCACCAAGGTGATGATTAAGGATGGAGGCTATTGGAGTGAATGTGTGGTAGATTATCTAGCTGTAATATGTGACGGTTGTAGACAAAGTCTAAATTTTGGTAAAGTATTTGTACATACAATATAACGCTGTTTATGGTTATGAAAAGGTAGGATTATTGTTGTAACATAGATATAATACAATGAAAAACACAAGAAAATACCCAACATCAACGGGGTCAAACACAGTTTCGATACTGAGGCAAAATTTTTAAAAATTATACAAACTCCTGACAAAAAAGATGAGGAGAATAAAACCGGGTGTTCCGGAAGGGTTACCGTCATCCAGTTGTTATTACAACATCCAAGAAAATAACAGACAAGATAGTGTAGGGTAAGGGAGATTTTGAAAGAAGAAAAAATGTAGTATTTCTGACCAGAAATATATAATATTTGAGTGTTTAAGAATGATGTGAAGGGAATACGGTTGTGATGAACGAAGACATAAATACAATTTGATACAATATCTAGATGTCTGTCATATCTTAGGTAATTAGTAATTTTGGGCACCATGTTACACTATGTTGGGGAGGAGTAAACGGGGTAAAAGACTCCTGTGACATAGTAAAGAATCAAAGGGTTTGGTAAATATTCAAAAATAAAATGTGAATAGTTAATTTTCTGGTAGAATATAAAAGAATAGTAAATTGTATGTTTTGATGCAAAATAGGGTTATCCGTACCATAAATGATTGATAAGGTTTATAGGTGTGTGTTGGGATTGTCATTTAATGCATTTGAGAGATGAATTTTACCTTGTAACATATATGACTAATGAGAGTAAAGTGGTACGTATCGGCCTAGTCATTGAAAGGTCACACCTATACAGGTCATCGATTGAAAAGTATAATCATATATAGCTTATATACAAATATTTAAACCTTCTAATTAGTATTTTTGGAAAGGGTCAGCATTTCAAGCAGTGGTATTGATTTTGTTGCATATTGTTAATGTAATAAAAAAATATGTGTAGTTATCCTGTTATCTGTTATTAATCAATTCGTGATACCATCCCGAAATACCATATTACAGCATCGCCTGAAAATTGTCAATAATTGATAAAGGAAGTGTGGAAGAGTGAAAAATCGGCATAAACAAAATTATAAGAAGAAAACAACTCACCTTCTGCCACTATGTTAAAGGAAAAAAAATTAAAAAATCAAATTCAAAATGGATGTATTCAAATCAAAACATTTTTACCATTAATTTCCATTTGAAGTAAAATGGAAACTTGCATAATGACGAAGTAAACCTTATATACTACAGTAACAATCATTACAACAATTTGAAATATGATAATATCAAGTATATGCTCATTTTCTACTGAATGTATGTAAATACTTACATTTCTTCGTTGAATAATTTATCCAAAATGAACTCGTTACGCTGATGACTAAGAATAATATTCCAAGAAATCCAAACAAGAAGGCTGCATATCGTATTTGACTGAAATACTTGTGTTCCCAATAGTCAGTTAGAACACGCCAGTCTCTCACTGAAAGATGTACCTCAATACGACTGGGAAAATTTCTTAATTTCTTTTTTGATTTTTCTATAACGTGGTACGTTTTATAACGCTGAATTCTATGACGTCGTATATAGTTGATATCGTCCTCAGAAATATAGTTCCCTTTTAAATCCTCGTGCACAAACATGAGCCCCTCCTCCCGGGCCTTTTTTATGGGGGTCGAAGCCCGCTCCGTGGGTTCTGAAATAGCATTGGCGGGCAGTTCTAGCCGCCGCCGAAATGACGCCCGTCTGTCCCGGGACCATTTTGTCCAGGCAGACTCTGGTAGTCTACCCAAAAATCTAGATCCACTTCTAGACCGATATGATCCAATGGAGGTTCGGCTTTTGATAGAACTTCGAGGAGAAGATCGTCTGTTCCAACCATTGTTTTCTGTATCGTTTATATTCACACCGGAAGAAAGATGGCTTTGAGATTTGCCTGGAATGGCAAATAAATCGTCAAAGTTTGTACCGTCTGGGTACATAGCGCTAGACGTTCGCCTAGGCTCACATAACACTGTTGTGGAGCCCTCTCTATCCCGTTCCTTTTCTCCTCTCCCTCCTCTGTCGCCTCTATCACGCTCTCGCCGGCCTCCGCCTCCTCCACCCCCTGACCTCAGTAGAAGAGGCTTCCTGTCTGTCCGGTCCTTCATGACGCTATCCACTTCAGTTGGAGGCTTGCCAAATTGATCCTCGCCCGGTGTACACCTTCTGGGTTTTTCATTAAAACTATGTGTACTTCTTATACTTTCCTGTGAAGAAAATCCAGATGTGATGGTCTCGCCGAGTCCACTAGTCTCTGTAGAACTTTGTTGGTGTATTCTTTGTAAGCTAGGAGACTTTTCTTTGAGACCTCCACTATCGGGAGATAAAAACTTTTTTTCACCACCACCGCCATTTGCTTTGTTGTTCTTGCTGGTTGACTCCGTACCACAGTTCTTTTCCCCTTCCTTATTACCCATGACGAGCGTTCAATAACACAATAGCTCTAGCTCCACATTGAACACCTAATTGTGTATGTTTCTACCTATTGCATAGGCGAGCATGCTCTAGTACTACAGCAATGTAACAACATCAACACTAGTACACTCTCTATCATATCTGATAGTATCCATATCTATAAAACATGGAGTTAATATGTAAGCGACATGTGGCAGTGCTAATACTAAGCGAAACATCTAATATCGTATTGTTTGATACTAACGCGAACGATTAGTATTGACACGCGGAGACACGAGGATGACAATGTATATATATACAAGTCTACCGTGGGATCAATTGACACTGGGAGATTCTTTGTCGTGTCGCCCATCATTCTTCCTCCTCTTGTCCCTCCCACAGTGCAGGCACCGCTTGATGTAATATAACTTAAACTGAAACATAACGGATCACGGAATATGTCAGCGTATTATTAAATTAGTAGATTTAGAACCAATATCACAATGTGACTAGTTAGTCACTTCTGCTGGTTCATCCCTGCTGTGCTAACAAGCCTGCCCTCAAGCAGATGTTCGGTGTCACTCTGCTCTTTTGTAGTTGTCACGGCCTACTACAGCACAACTATAGGAAACATTTGATCGTGCTGGCAATGCATATTTAAACAATATTCAATAATGTCACACTAACTCATTTTACATTTGAAATGATGGCTGGTTTCACGGGAAATTTTCGAAGTGTCTGAGAGTGTCAGAGGTGCTTAGCGTTATCAGAGAGATTACTTCATCCTTTTAAGCTCGTCATTCTCAACGGATTTGCTTTTTAAAAGCATCTCAGCGTGCAAACAAGTTAGAATTACAATCAGTAATGATGCTATGTGGAGCACAGAATCATTAAGTACGCGAGGCTGTTGTTTATAGCCAAATTGAACCTTTCAGGAACAGACATGTGTCATCTACCTGCTTTTTTGTAGGAAATAAACATTTAATATTCACGTGGTATACAAACAATGTACGAGCAGACGACGGGAGATTGTAGCTATAGATGACACCCGTGAAACTAACAACTACAAAATCGATTTTTCTCATGTGTACAGCACAATGGGTGTGTAGCCGGTGAACGGAAGCTCGGCTTCATTCGTGACATGAGCGCCACCTAACAGCCAAAACGACTCCGAGTCCGTGCTGCAAGTTGAATGTACCACCTCGTGCGGTTAGCATGAATCCATCAATAGCAACTACAGATAACGTGCTGCTAGTGTTATCAATACGACATTACGCTGCGATGAGAATCGTTCGTAAAAAAACCCACAATGCATAAACGCCATATCTTCGCCTCCGAATGGATCAAAGAGCAATGTTTTGAATTATAAGAACACACACATATACACTATGTACTATCTTATCATGTTAGACACATGCAGCACGGAGAAGCGTTCACTTTTGCTTATGCAAAGTTACATGCTAAGACTATTTCTGTGCATTTTACAATTCCATATATATATATATATATCTTGATAATTAGGATATATCTTGATATATTGACTGCTGTGTTTTCAGACCTACAGTTGTTTCCAGTTGATCTGTTCATGTATTAAATCTTTCTTTTGATGATTCCATTGTATTATTCTATCGCACTGTTCTTATCTTGTTTGGACCATAAAGTAATTTAAAGAATTACGGGAGAAGTGCAAAATATTTTTTGGTTGCCTTGTCATTTGATCTACAATGATCAATAGTCGAACAAATGTAATGAAAAATATTACAAATACTGATCATAACGTGAGAAATAAAGGTTATTAAGTTATACAAAAACACGTTTGCAGTTGTCCAAAGCCTCTATTTCCAGGTCTATATGAGGTGTCTTTTTTAAAATTACATAATCCGTTGTTTTAGTTTTAATTTAGATAAATTTTAGTAATGATGATAACTGGTTGAAAAGTGTCTCGTGTTTAAGGGAAATGATGTCCTGCAATCTATGATGTTTAAAATGTACATTTATTAATTCCTTCGAATAGTGGCATGATCCAGAATATACATGCACTTGGTAATCCGTCCGAAATTATCAGATATATGAAAATTATAAAATATTTCGAATTATGAAGAAAATGCACCTCCCCATCTAGACTTTGGCATTTCTTGTTAACACTTTTGATCTTCGTACACCTCCAAGGATTCAGCTTTAGGCCCTAAGCATCCCTGCCGAGTCCTAGAAGGACAAAACAGCGAAATGATGGATTTTAATTCAATATTTAGTTCCACTGTGTCGAACTGTAAGTTTGCATTAAAAGGACTTATTTACTAATCGGAGTCTTTTGCAAAATCATATAAATGTTAGGTATGTAATAATTTCTTTCAATAAACACTAGAAAATAGCAGATGTTTTTGTGAATGCTAAGCACTCGTGAAAAGCATTAATATTTAAGTTATGCGAATAAAACATATTTACACGGCTTTAAGTGCTACTATCTTATGACGTCACATTTAAAATCATGACTTAAAACCTTTCAAATGGGTAATTCTACACATTTCTCTATGCTTGATTATTGTCTGAAAGGAAAAGCTTTTAAATTTGTCAACATTTGACAATTCATTCCAAGCTCCATTTATAATCGCAAAATATGATCTAATGCCATAACTTGCTGAATTGCAATCTAAAGTCCCATTATCTTCAAATACAATATCTTTTCCTGAAGTCTCGAATGCAGAAAATGGAAAGTTAAGAATGGTTGTTTTATTGTCCGATTAATTGAATTGAATTTTCATACCGTGACAAATATCAGTGTTGAAAAGTTTCTACAAAAATACACACAAATGAATAGCACATATCAGAACAAATTTAAAATTGGATACAGGAATGAATTAACTGTAGCATACAGCTGTTCCGTCCTTCTATCACTCGTCAGTGATGAAAATGGTCTTTAATAACCTGGAAGGCAAATGAGGAAAACCACAACTGACTGAAAAAGAATGACAAAAATATATATATATATCACTATCATTAATTTACATAAAGCATATAACTGTACAAATACGACAAAATCTCTTAAAATCTTTCATATGACGGAATCATTCAATATCAGTAACGTCCTGAAGCATATTTTACATATAGTTAGAAGTATATTTTCAGGATAAATATACATGGCAGAAAAGATGATCAAGGTATTATTGTACGAAACCTAACGAGATTCTACATAATAGTATTATATAGACTGTATCCACCACTTCATTTGCTTTCTCGGCCTATGATAAAAGCCTTCAGGTTTTCTGTGAGTGTTAGGGAATGAATTATTCAGAGTCCTTCGTTGCAATTACGTGTATTGGGATCCCAGGAGAAAGCCTTGCCAACCTGCGATGTTACTCCATTAAATACTCCCGATACTACACAACGATCGATTAATATGGCATGCCTTTGCCCTTCGCCTTTATATATTTTTCCTAACACGTGTTTACTCTGTGTCTGATTTACAGTGCCTCTAAGCTCCACTCAGAAGTGAAATGGTTTGTCTCTCAAAGACGAAAACATAGATCAGTATTATAGTCTTAACGCGTTAAGATTTAGAAAGTCTAGGAAACCATTACACTCAGACTTTTCTGAAGATACATCATTGGTACAGTATAAAGTCACCAATCTCAGAATGTAGCTTACATCATCCTAGTCTAATTAACAATTTTGAATTTTTCCGGAATCATTTGGCTTTAACAACATGTTTTATCGCTTCCTTACGGATTTTTACTTATCAAAATATTACAAGAAATTATCTCGTTCTGATAATTGTAGAATTTATTTAGTTAATTGGTAAGTTCATAATTTCACATTCAGTCTCGTATGTTTCAACGTTATAGGCACTGAGTACCACTGAGAATGACGAAAGCATCAAAGTAACGTGAATTAATTCATGGTTTGGCTCTTCTGTATATCAAACGTACTATACCTTGTCTTTTGTTCAATCTGCGTCATATTTTTGTCCCAGATGCATCTTCCATTCAGGAATTGGTGTGTAATGTCCTCGTATATATACAAAGATTCCTTTCAGTATAAATAGGTCAGGTGGTTATTTTTTTATGATGCTTTAGGTAATTGAAAGGATATACCATTAATCTGTACGTAATTAATTGCTACTATATCCTTACCGTACTTATTCACCTTGACATTGCCATTCAGTATCCACTGCATTGATGAAATGAAAATCGGATGGAATGTCATAAAAATGTTGACAGGTAAATATTGTAAGCACACATGAATGGTCGAAAACAGGAGGAAACAAATTTTGTTTCGCAACGAAGACGAGAACAACAATTTATTAAGCTACACATTTCTTTTAAAAAATATTAAAATGAAACTAGTTTTAGAAGCAATGAATATGAGATTCAGTTGATATGTTATGGAGGGAGACTACGGAATGTCCATGATGCGTTGACTTGTAGTAATCAGCATGGATTGATTTAGTCCTTCCATATTCCTGAGTTAATAAATAACTGCCTTTTATTGGAGTAATCACGACACGCTATACTAGTCCTATAAAACACTATCATTATTACCAGTTCTTATTTCATTAAGCATTGTTGGTATATGGATAATTTTCCTTTCTCCAGATTTTAACTCACATGCATGAAATTGATAATTGTCTACCCTTTACAGCTCATCTAAAGTAAAACTGCAGAGGGGCAGAGCCGGAAAATGGTCAGTGGAGATTTTTTCTGTTCTATTGTAAATAACGTTTCCATCCGGAGAACGTCAGGAATTAAGCTTTTATAAATAATATGTATCCGCTATATATACAATATATGAAGCAACCTTTCCTATTTTATGTATATTCCATGCGATTTGCTGTGACCCATAATATCTCATTGAATCATAGTGAATTACTCGGAGTTCTCAAAGAACGAAACTGCTTTAAATGCCATTGTATTCAAGCCTCGCTGTTCATACTTTATTCAGAAAACAATTACTTTTCCAAAATACCTGGTCTTTTTATCCTTGTATATTTTCAGGAGTCTCCATGCAAATCTCTTTTTTGTTCATA